AAAATACGTACGATTCGTCATAAATAATCTCTAACATTAGAGTCTACATTCGCAACGTGACACCATCAAAACGAATAAATCAAAATCTGTTTTAACAACACACATACAACACGTTTCTAGGCCAGTTTGTGGCAAGTTTTAGAGATGTTTGACATGTAATTAGTATTGCTGTGTATTGATTACTTGTCAAATCACTCAGGCCCAATAAAATTTTGTCATAAGACTAGCAAAGAAGAAAAGACCCACGAAAGGCAGCGATGTTAGACTAACTTATCAGTCTAATAAATCAGGCATTTGAACTATTTTTGCAAGTAGTACGAAATCTTGAAGTAACACAAGGCTCTTGCGTATTATCTCCAAGTTCTTGCAATATAATTTTCCTAAAAAAAGCTTGGATGGCAGACAAGAATATATAATATACTCCATTCCACGAATATACGACTGTTTTAAATTCGGTTTAAGGTCTCTATTTAAATGGTCCAATGTGCTGAATTGAACAATAGTAAATTCTCCCTATTTTTAAAATACTGTTATGACTTAAAAAAATATGAAGTCATGATATAAATATAGAGTTGATAGTTTATAGAATAGTTATAATTCAGATTTTGAAGTATATAATTACTATCATTGATTTTAGTATTGTAAACAAGTTGGTTTTTGAATTAAGTGATTTAAACGAAGTGTAACAATACTTAGGTGGTTAAATAGTGTAATTTATTTAGTCGAATATTCAATTAGTATTAAGAAAACAAAAAAACTTACTTATTCTCCTAATCTACTAAAACTATCATCACTCATCAGATTCACAGAACTTCACCATAGGAAAGTACATTAAATACAAAGTTGTCTACATCTAAAACACGTCTCGGCGTTTTTGGCTTCAATAAACAAATACACTACACTAAACTCTCTCTTAACGGCACCTTTCTTCATGGGACACCTCTATACGGACAGTTTTTAAAACTAAAATTAGTCGGCGATATATGAAACTGTATATAAATGTTCGTTACTTTTTTATATCTGTAACGACTCGGTACTTCAACTATCAATAGCTGGTATGTTATACCCGTTACTTTCGGAACTTTTAAGAGTAAATCCACTCAAATCAAACAAATATTTAAAACTAACAAAGTGAAATTATAGATCCTTTTTCTGGTTTCCAAACCATCGTTCTGCCAATTTCTTTTCATTTATATTAAAAGTATATTTCTTTTTATTACAGTTGTAGTACCTAATATAGTAATAAAAAGTGTGATATCAAAGGAACCCGGCACGCCTCTTTGGTGTTTACATTTCACGGAAACCCAACCCAAATGTCTTATGAACACATTTTGGCTTCATAGAACTCATTGTATTTGTTTGTAGGACCGTTTGCGTAAAAATTTTTGTTATTTTCGGATTAAATTTCACAATAAATTTTGCGTCTATCTGAACATATATTAACTGAAATAATTTTAGTGTCTCAAACTAACAGTAAATCCATTTTATTGGAATACTGTTTAGACCAATTTACTTTCATACTTCTACTTGCACAGTAAAATATTCGTTGTCGTAATAATCCAAAACAGTCGTATATTCGTGGAATAACCTATATTTAAGGGTATGATCTCCTGCATGACCCAAAATGAGCATGCTTTTTTACCTGCAAAATCTGAAGATGAAGCTAAACATCCTAGGGCTAGTACCTGCCGAGCAAGTTCCGACATTTAGGAAAGTTGGACCCGAAATGACTATGAACCAATTCCAAAGACTTAAGATAAATCTTTGAGGATATGGGCGCAGGTATCAATTACAACGAGTAATATATTAAAAGAACTAATACTTTCGCTGATCTATAGAGCGTATATTAAAAAAAGTTGCTAATAAAATGACGTCAAGTATTTTCATTCTCTTCTCCCTTTTATGTAAAAAATTCTTTCCTGAGACAATTTATTTTATAACGTATTAAACAAACAAGACTTCGCACGTTCTTCTAAGTTCAAAGACCTACCTACAGTACATATTCCGAAAAATGCAGGCAATAACGCAGCATAGGGTTCGAACCGTTCCACAACCAAACTAAAGGCCCTTATTGAATTTCAATATGGAAATAGAATTCATGTAGACGGTAACGTCGAACACACCGAGAAGAAGGCGACAAGTTAACTTTTTATTTGATTTATGTTTATCGGTTTATAATAATCGAATATTTCACTCGGAGGTTTTAAAACTTTCCAGGCTTGTCGTGGAATATCTTCGGTGTGTTTGTTAATTTCTTTTTGTTTCTCTGCATTGAAATTTGAAAATGTAAACTAGTTGTACCGACTAGAAACTTAAAGGAAGCTGATATGTAGATTTTAATCTATACATATAGCAACATGGTCTTATTTATGGAAATATTGAGTTAAGTTCTTACTGCATGATTTTTTCATTTTTTATAAAAAATCTATGATTACAAACTTGACTTCAAGATTGCGGTAAAAATATAAAAAAATCCTCCTACTTGGTTAGTTTTTTGTATTTTTAAAATTTTTTTGGATTCAATAACAAGATTTAAAAAGTAATATTAATAAAAAGAATGAAGAATGAGATCATTCTCCCATTCTAATTGACCTAGATGCCAAAATCATACTCAGTCTCAAAATAAGCCTCCAGTCCTAACCAATAATCAAACAAATTGGAAAATATTCCGAAGTGCACTAGCAGAACAAATAACAACGAACTTGCCACTTAAAACAGAATTACAAATTGAAAATGCGGTACAACAACTTACTACCTCCATACAAAAGGCAGGTTGGATTTCTACTCCTGAACAAACAACATGGAAGGAAAGCATAAACTGTTCGCAAAGTGCAAAAAACCTGAACGATGAGAAAAGAAAACTTAGGAAAAAGTGGCAAAACACACACGCTCCTATTGACAAACAAAATTTAAACATAATTACCAGAAGACTTAAAAATCTATTAAAAGAAGAGAAAAACAGGGGGATCCAAACTTACTTAGAAAATTTGACTCCGTCCAAAGACACCAATTATTCTCCATGGAAGGCAACGAGAAAGGTAAAAGGTCGACAAGACGCCATACCTCCTCTAAAAAAGTCAAAGGTAAATGGGCAAGAACAGACACAGAAAAATCTGAGACATTCGCTGAACATCTTTCTACAGTATTTAGTCCATTTAACAGAGTAGTGCCATTAGAACAAGAAGAACCATTTAATTCTTTTCTTGAGGCTCCATATCAAATGGAACTACCAATCACCAAGTTTAATATTAAAAAAGTAAAACAGATAATAAAGAATGAGATACAACCCAATGAGGCTCCGGGATTCGACCTCATAACGGGTAAAATCCTCCAGGAACTAACCAATGACTGTTACAGAATAATCACTATGATCTTCAATGCTATGCTTAGTCTGCATTACTTTTCTCTGCAATGGAAAGTGGCACAGATTATACTCATTCAAAAACCTGGTAAAGATCCAAAAGATGTCAACTCATACCGACCGATTAGTCTACTCCCAGTCATCTCTAAGGTCTTTGAAAACCTTATGCTACGAAAAATCAAACCAATATTGGACGAAAAGTATTTTATACCTGACCATCAATTCGGTTTTCGTAACCAACATGGTAGAATCGAAACATCATATCAAATCGATAGAAACAAGTTCACAGACTATACACAACAATAAGAAGTAGTCTCCAGAACAAGCAGTACTGTACTGCAGCCTTTTTAGACGCCTCTCAAGCTTTTGACAAGGTGTGGCATACAGGACTTCTGTACAAATTAAAGAAAAATTTACCTTACCCTTACTTTAAACTGCTTCAATCATATCTTACAGAAAGGAGATATCTGGTAAAATATAGTAAAGCCTATACAAAACTCTACCCCATCCTATCTGGTGTACCTCAGGGTAGTGTGCTCGGACCGATTCTGTACCTGATATATACGGCTGACTTGCCAAAGAGCAATAACCTTAAGCTTGCAACATTCGCAGATGATACTGCTTTCTTGGCCTCTCATAGCAACCAATAATAGCATCAGAGAGACTGCAACTACATGTGAACAAAACAAATGAATAGCTTAAACTCTGGAGAATTAGAGTAAACCCCTTAAAATCCATACAAATTACATTCACTCTAAGAAGAGGTACATGTCTACAAGTTAACCTCAATGGACATCCTTTGCCCCAAAAGCATGAGGGATGTTGGGAAAAAAACTCTCACCTATCGATCGACAACAAGCTGCTGATATACAATACAATAATAAAACCCATTTGGACATATGGCTCGCAGCTCTGGGGTTCAGCTAGCAAATCTAATATTATGATAATACAAAGATTTCAATCCAAAACTCTGAGAACAATCGCTAATGCACCTTGGTATATCCAGAATGATGCAATACATAGAGATCTTCAGGTACTAATAGTCCCTGAAGAGTGCAAAAAATCTTCTGAACAATATCAAAACAGGTTGCGGGTGCATCCTAATACCCTGGCACACAATCTTCTCAAAAACCAACAAGCGAAGAGATTGAAGCGACATGACTCCTTGGACCTACCTCGACGATCCTGACAGAGCCTACAGAAGTGGGAGTTACGCCTTCAACAGCACCCAGCCATTGTGATCAGTGCCGCTTTTAGTGCTCGCGTATCAGTGTATGTGCGTATCCTACCGGTAAACAAGCCAATTTGTGTCGTGATCATTTGATCACTGGATCTTACATCTCTCTGTCATGTAAAGACAAAGAATTTTACTTATTGTTTTCACTGCAAAACAGATTGTAAAAATCTTAAATATTAATAAAAAAAATAATGACTTTTATTACTTTCTAATTATAATAATTATTCAGTGTAAATGTTTGGAAAAGTGTTCAAGACGTATTTAAATATTTTAATATACAAAAGATCACAAAACACGTGAACTTAAGCAGTTTCCGCTCGAGCTGGTCCAGTGACAGGACGGTGATTTTTAGGCAAGTAATCAGTCAATTCTTGGTAGTGTCTTAGCTAAAGCAATATCCTTTCACAAATCAGGTGTCAAGTATGTGTCTTTGGCAAAGTTACCTAAAGTACCAGTGGAACCTCTAGCTGATGTGTAGCAATCTTCAGTACCAGCAATATCTAGAAGTTTCTTAGGAACAGGGGCAGAAACGATTCCAGTACCACGGGTAGCTGGGATCAAAAGCACAGTAACAGAAATACATTTTCCAGTTACCTTACAAGGTACGGTGTGAGGCTGACCAAATTTTTTACCATAGTATCCTCTTCGTACTGGCACAACTGACAGTGTGGCTAAAATAATAGTACCCCTGATGGTAGGTGCTACTTCCTTGCTGCATTTTACACCCAATCTAATGTATCCTTTGCTGTCTCCAATGGCAACGAATGCCTTAAAATGTGTACGTTGACCAGCATGAGTTTGTTTCTGAACAGGCATGATTTTCAATATCTCATCGTTCAAGTCTGATCCAATGAAGTGGTCGATGATTTCAACTTATTTGATTGGCAAAGAGAACAGATAGATTTCTTCAAGAGAGCGGATCTTTCCATCTTTGACTAAACGTCCTAGCTTGGTTACTAGTAACCATTCCTTTTGATCTTCCTTTTCATGACCACGTCTTCTGCCATGACCTCTGGACCACAAATGTTTTGTATTAAACTTAAGAGGTCGCTGGTTAAATAATAGAATAATAATGGTGAAAAATGCAATATTTTGACTGTAAATAAAAGTAGCGAAAATAGCAAATATTTATAAATGGATATGTAAAATAAAATGTAATTCAAATAACAATTATCAGATTTAATAACTTATTGTCAATTATATATGAGATTCACTTACCTTTTGTCTGTGGTTGGGCCCCGCTCGGAGACTAAGGGTAAACGGGATGCACATTCGATGCCGGTTTGATGCTTGCGTCCACGACGAGAAGTTGCTGCAGAGTGACCAATCATACGAAAAAAGATACATATGTATGAAAGTCAACTAGGATGGTTCTTCTGTTTTTAGGACCTCCGTAAATAGCAATAAATTAAGCTTAAAATGACATTGAAGTGTTTTGGGTTGATAAATAGTTTTCCAAAAACATGTTGAATTCAGACAAGTGAATTCTCAGAAATTGGTAATAATTAATCAGCCAATTTGAATTTGAGAATTTAAAAGATGTGGAAGTAAAGCCATATTATAATTAGTCAATATGAATTAGCACATTCTGAATAATAAAAAATAAAATTTTTAAATACAACTTGAACAGTTTTTCAAACATTCTTCGCCCTTTCACTACACCGTAATGGAAGATGGCCATATTCATCTGTTCGTACATCTTGCATTGGAATATCGGTTGCTGGATCAGCTCTTTTCTTCTTTTGTAAATTTTCCATAGCTCCACACGGGCGACCCCTTTTTGTTGTAGAACCAGCTTTGTTAACTTTGCATTAAACACTCTGCTACTACCATTATGAGATCTGTCAAAGCTAAATTATTATGCTTATTGTCACTTCTTCTCCATAGAATCCACGCATTGACAGTCATCAAATCAATAATATGAAAAAATATACGCATGTACCATTTTTTGAATCTGAGTTTGATGCTATAATTGAATCTAGATCTACTGTCCCCATATACTTTTTGTAGATTGTTACAGCTTTTGGACATGGAACTATGTCCAACCATGGAACCAGGTTTTCTTAAGTCTTTTAAATTGCAACTTTGGCTTAGATCTAGCTTTATTACCTCTGTTTTTTTCCTAAGTAATAATACCCGTTTTGCGGTGGTCTACTAAGTCTGTGGTTAGTCATCCTGAACGACTCCTGGGTGCAAAAAGTTGTTTTTTTCCTTTCTCTATTCCTATTAGGTACGTTATAGTCTTGGTGTATGGTAGGGTAGCTTTAGATAAGCGTTTTTTTTTAAACTTTTTTTTGTAAGTTAAAAATAAAAATCCAGAGAGTCGGTTATTTGAATGTTTCGCATAACTTTTGAGGTTACGTGAAAAAAACGGGAAATCAAAAATTGTAGATCTTTTTGTTACCTATAACTTTGATGTTTAACTTTTTTCATCGGAGTTGTAGTTTTGCTAGAAAATGTGATATATCGTCCCCGACATAAGGTCACCCGTAAAACATTTTTTGCTAAAATTTCGTTTTTATTATTTTTATGCCTTTCGCAACGAGTTGTGTACTGTTACTATTTTTTTTTTGGACTTCAAGACGATCAGCCCTGGCATATGGATATTGAAAAAAAAGTATTTATTTACATATTTATTTAAATTGTCCTTTGCTGAATTGTTTTCGTGAATTCTACTTTAAATAATTTACTTTTCTCTAATTTGTTTACTGTTTGTAATAAATATTTTTGACAGCAATTTTTTACCCACCTTCATTAAAGTTTTTTTAGTGTTTAATGAGTCATTACCATAAAAACCGTTAAGAAAGCATTGACATTTCCACAGCTACCCTAAACTTGACATTAAAACGAATGAATGGAACCACTGACCCTTGTTTTCCCTTGGAGGGTTTTATCTCTTTTTTTTTTGCTGGCGTTTGGCCTTTTACTTGACCTTCAGAGTCGTATGTAAGTGACCGATATAAGTCATGGTCTGCATTAGTTTTTCAAGAAAGTTTCGATATGCTCATAAAGTTTTTGCCTTAATAAAACTTTTTCTATTTCAAAATACGAAATGTGTAGAGAAGGGCAGTATTGTGAAAAAGTTTGACTATATATAAAAGTGTAAACTCTGAGTTTTCTGTTTTTAATCAGTATTTTCCACATTAACATATATATATATATATATATATATATATATATATATATATATATATATATTTATATTTATATATATTGTTATGATATGTAAAATTGAAAATAATATTGGTTTGCTTTTAATATATTTCAAATTACAAAATAAAAGATATTTCAAAGAAATGAAAGTCCATTATCCTGGATTACCTGTAGTAAACAAAATTTAAAGATATGCATAAATTATTTTCTTTGTAAAATATATTCGAGTAACGTGAGTGAGCTTAGTGAAATCGTGAACAATGTGAGTGGGTTTTCCAACTAGATTTGTACGTCGATATACAGTGAATAAGACAATAGAATGGAAATATTTAGAAAATATAATTCTCCGTTAGTTTTTAAGAATTTGTAGAAACCGATTAGCATGTTAATAGTTTTTAGGAAATTTATAATTGTAGGTAAAATTGTTGTTTGTTATCTAAATGGTAGATGGGGATATTTTTGACGTACTTTGATTGGGGAGATTGAAAACAGTGGGATAGGTATGTAGGAATGAGAGTTTAGCTAAATTTTTGAGGGAGAAAAGATAATCAGTTGTTTTTCAAGGGTGCATGGTGAACAGTCGTTGTTCTCTGGTGGTTCCCCAGAGGTAGTAAGCAGTAGAAGTGAATGTTTGTGAATTTTCGTGGAGTAAGTGTATCTGACAGAAGCTGATCCAGTAAAATATTGTAAGTTATATTTTTCTACGTATATTCCAAGAGTCACTGTTCAGGTCAGAACGAGAGATTCAGTTTATCGAGAGGAGAAGAGGCTAGCATCATTTAAACGATATGTGCATTTGAAGGAGATCATTAAAGACGATAGGCTCACAACAATTTGTTGTAAGATTGCTGATTGTATAGGGGACTGCTAAGAATAGATAGTGCAGGCTACAAGGAACAAGAATTTGGACAACTCATCATCAGAGAGATAGTTTTACTATTCGTCAGTTTTTCTTGATTAACAACACATTTTTTTTAATAATTGCTTTAGAAAAGATAGGAATATTTTGATCAGGAAATTTAGAACAACAATTTTGATTTGAAATTTTAAATTATATTGTATATACCATTAATTTTTGAAGGTTCACGTACGTAGAATAAAATTTTGATAATCATTATATGAGATATTTTTTATTGAAGATATTTGAATGTGAATTTTATTTCAATATATAATGTTGTATCATATATGTTTTTTATTCCGGTATTCTTTGGATCTTACCTATCATATGTAAAGCATAGATATTGAAGTACGAGTATAAACCTGAGATAAGAAAATTAAATAGTGTGACAGAATCATAATGGCATCATTTAAATAAGTTTAATTAATTAATTAATTGGCTAATTAATTGCTTGACGCACCTCAGAATAAACAAAGTAAAATATATGTATAGTATGAAAGGCAACCGTATGTACGTATCTCTGAAACGACTCTGAAAGACTCTGAGGTTTCTTTAGAAACAACTAACACATCCACGAATGAAGCTAAGCTACGCGAGGAAAGGAATATCAAACGTTTAGAACCTTTCAAACAACAAGATAAAGGTTAATGCGAATTATTAGTACAATAAAGGTAGAACTTTTCTTGGTAGTTGGTATGGAGGTCCGAGATCTTAGTCTACTTGGCTGAAGTTGGTAGTCATACAAGGAGTGTCTTCGATACCTCTTCTGCTTCTTTCGTTCTATCTCTAACGTGACCTGTCTTCTGATAGCAGTTGGAGCGATTCCAACTGTAGGGTAGACCTCTTTGATAGGTGTTTGACTGCAGCAGCATTTTCCGGGTCTAAACCCTGCTTGTTCAGGAACAATTTTAGTCTAGACTTATGACTAGCTTGCACCACCTGTCTGCTGCACGCACCTGCTCTTATGTTTTAAGTAGGGGTTTAAATTCTTCATTTAGTCCCATCTTTATTTTCAATCATCATCATCATCTTTGGCTCTACAACTCTGAGTGGGTCTTAGCCTGTTCAAGAATTAGTCTCCATGTCCCCTATCTTTCGGCCTGGCTTTCCAATTTCCGACCCCTAGATTCCTGAAGTCATCTTCGACTTGAGTATTGAATCTAGATCTTGGCCTGCCTCTCTTCCTGGTTCCTACTGGCTCTTGATATAATATCTGTCTTTGAGGGTCTCCAGTGTCCAGTCTTTCAAGGTGACCTAGCCACGTTAGTTAATTTTAATAAACCGGACGATGTTGCATTTTTGAAACAATTGATACAACTCAAAATCCAGCTTTCTTGTACTCGTCCGTATATGTGTCTAGGTATTCTTCATTTTCAATCATACATATTTTATTTCTGTATTTATAATTATCCAACTAATTTCAATACGTCCTACTTGAAACAATAAATATAATATTTAACTTAGACCTGCCACAAGAAAACAGTTTTGAAAACCTCTTTAAATGATAGTTGTGCTAATAATAGCAATTTTTTTTGTATACTTTAGAGACATATAGCCAATAAATCATCTGAATTAAAAGCACAGCTTTGTCAATGCCAATGCTCATACCATTAATAATGACTATACAAAAATTCCTTTCTATTGCATTTAGACCTTTTACAGGATTATGAAAGCAAATGAGGTAAACTTGAAACAAATTGCAACGTAAATGTTTACAGAAACTTATTCAAATATTTTGTTTACTCTGTAATCACTTTGCATACAT